TGATGTCATCCCACAACTCTTCTGGTCTTCGGTCTTTAGTGTTTAATGTATCAAATCTGTTCTTCAGATGATCTCTAAATTCAGGTGGGATATGTCTGAAAGAATAGACTGCTGAAATTAGGGTTTTCCGACCTCGAATACTTAATAATTTGGCCATACAATTCTCTGACTTGTGTTTCTATCATGCACTTTAGCGATTGTATTATATATTTAACACTTAAAATTTCACTTAATAAAAATAAACAGATTTTCAGAGTAGAACTCCACTTTCTACAAAACTATTTAACTCATGTAATAAGTAGTAATTGAACATAATCTCAAAAATATTAAAAGACAGATTTTAAAAAAAAACAACCTTACATCATTTGTGTTAACATGCCAAGCCATATCCCCATAGGAAACCAGTTGTCCATTAACATAACACCGAATTTCACTGTTCCTCCATCGGTTGTAAATGTGAACAATGCTGATCATATACCACTGAAACGAAAATAAAAGTTTGTTAAAGACATCCTACTGCAATGCTTATTTATCACTGTCTACAAAGCAATCATTCATACTCATGACACCTATAAGAAACTACTTGAAGGAACTCTCTATTTCATTCCCTAGCTTCTTCCTCCCATTTCTGGTTAAACACATGAAAGAACATGCACACGGAGCACATCTGTGATGGAGACAAAGCTACAGTACTAACTGGTTACAGACCGCATCTTTCACTTAACCAAAAAAGCACAAACATGGTAGCCCAAAAGAAAGGGAAATTTTTAAAGCTTTTGTTTTTGAATCGAGAAATTATCAACAAGTCATAAAAACTGAACTTGAAATATACCTGAAAAAAAAATCTTAAAAACGTTTACATGTGTAAGAATTATAACTTACATATTTGTTAATACCTTCTAAGTAACAACGAAGATACAACCTTTAAACATTTTGGAGTAAAATTTTCAGAAACCAAATCTTGAGAGACTTCCTGGACCATGATGGCTTTAAGAGAGCTATTACTTGACAGATTATACTTACTGCCGTACATAAAATTGTTGGTGTTGTTGTTAAGTGCCGACAAATCGGTTCCAACCCATAGTGAGCCTGTATAGGGTTTCCAAGGAGCACTGGTAAACTTGAACTGCTGACCTTGTGTTTCAAACTGACTTTGCAGTCCAGTGCATTAACCCACAGCGCCACACCAGGACTTCGTACATCTGTTTTCTACAATGTTCCCATTGTAGAGAGTTACTGAAAACCAGTCATTACATGTTGAATTAGTGTTCTTATAAACACTATGTTGTACCAAATAACTTAGAGGATTAGACTTCAAATTCATATGAGTTGAGCTAGATTCCCAGTTTATTATTTTCAGCAACTCTGAACCTATTTCCAAATCTAAATAGAGGGAGTAATAATGTCTATTTGTTGGGGTAATTGTGAATATTGTAGAAAACTGAAATATACAAAACTATGTACAACAGTTTCTAAGATATTTGGCACTGTAGGATAAACACTGGACTGCTAACCGCATGGCTGGCAGTTCAAACCTACCAGCTACCCTGAGGGAGAATGATAAGGCTTTCTGTTCCCAGAAAGATTTACAACCTGGGAAATCCCTGAGCTGGTCTGACTTACTATATAAGGTCACTCACTGTAAGTCAGACTAACTCAAGGGCACCTAACAGAAGCACAGGGTAGTTCATGGAGATTTATGTATTTTTTTAAATTGCTGATTGGAATACATTTATCTTGTTGTTGTTGTTGTGTGCCGTCGAGTTGGTTCCGACCCATAGCGACCCTATATAGGGCTTCCAAGGCGCAACTGGTGAGCTTGAACCGTCAGCCTTGCAGTTCAAACAGCTTTGTAGTCTGGCACATTAAACCACAGCGCCACACCAGAACTCAAATTTATCTTAATTAACAATAAAAGAAAATATTTAGGATTTTCAAGGCATACTAGAATAATTAGGAGAAGCTTTTCAAAACCCACCTCACTCACTGGTCATGTTCCCACCAGGAACCCTTAGAATAACTTCAACATAGCAAGTTACTGCAATTGGAAATGTAGTTTTCAAAAGCCAATGTTTTAAAAACAGAAAGAAATGAAAATGTTATGTTTTAAATTGCTTTTTCTTGGTTACTGTCAATTTCATTTGGTTTTTAACCTTGATTTTTTACTATTTGTATTCTAATTGTATTAAATCTCTTCTAAACTTGCCTAATGAGAGTGACCTAGATCCTTTGCTTAAAAACATATTCTCCAAACATGAAAATTATAATTTCAAGAATCTGTATTTGTAGCCAGTTCACAGTAAGAATCAAAATAATCTGGCACATTTGGCAAACTGTGTGTGGGCCCATCTCAAAGCAGCTGAATCCGAATTTCTAAAGGAGAGGCACTGACTTTACCTAACAATTGGAGGAAAGATTACCACAGGAGTCTCTGTTGTTGTTGTATGATGCTTTTGAGTCAGGTCCAACTCATAGGGGGTCCCACGCACAACAGACCAAAACACTGTCCAGGATCCTACACCATCCTCACACCTTGTCCTTACAAATAAACCCACTGCTGCTGCCATTGTGCCAATCCATCTCACTGGGGGTCTTCCGCTTCTTTGCTGCCCCTCCACTAAACCAAGCATATGTCTGAAGTATGAGAGATGAAGTCTGGCCATCCTGGCACCTAAGAAGCATTCTGGCTGTGCTTCTTCCAAGACAGATTTACTTGTTCTTTTGGCAGTCCATCTCAAAAATCGTAACTTAAATGTATCAATACTTTTACAGTCTTTCTTATTAAGAGTTCAAATTTCATATGCATATGAGGCAACTGAAAATACCATGAATTGGGTGTCAGGCGCACCTTAGCCCTCAAAATGGTATCTTTGCTCTGGAACACTTTAAAGAGGTCTCTTACAGATTTGCCTAATGCATTACATCCTTTGATTTCTTGACTGCTGCTTCCATGAGCGTTGATTGTGAAGCCAAGAAAACGAAGTCTTTGACAACTTCAGTTTTTTTCTCCATGTAGCATGATGTTCTTTATTGGCCCAGTGGTGATGTTTTGTTTTGTTTTGTTTTACAATATCCATCTGACATCAGCAAAAATATCCCTGGTTCCACAACCTCCTCTGAATCTGACTTGAATTTCTGGCAGCTCCTTGACAATGTACTGCAGCAATCATTTTTTAAATTATCGCCAGCAAAAGTTAACTTACATGTGATATTAATGAGCTTGTTTAATGATTTTGGCATTTCAGTGGGTTACCTTTCATTGAAATAGACACAAATATGTATCTCCTACAGTCACTTGGCCAGATAGCGATCTTCCAAATTTCTTGGCATAGATAAGTGAGTGACTCTTGCACTGCATCAGTTTCTTGGAAGATTTCAATTTGTATCCCATCAATTCAAGGAGACTTGTTCTTTGCCAATGCCTTCAGTGCACCTTGGACTTTTTCCTTCAGTATCATTGGCTCTTGATCATATTCAAACATTTCAAGATCATACCTCTTGAAATGATTGAACATCAACCATTTATTTTGGTACAGTGACTCTGTGTATTCCCTCCATCGTCTTTTGATGCTTTCTGCATCATTCAATAATTTGCCCAGAGAATCCTTCAATATTGCAAGTTGAGGCTTGAATTTTTTCTTTAGTTCCCTCAGCTTGAAAAATGCTGAGCGTGTTCTTCCCTTTTGGCTTTCTAATTCCAGATCTTTGCACAGTTCATAATAATATTTGACTTTGTTTTCTCAAGCTGCCCTTTGAAATTTTCTATTTGGCATTTTCACTTCCTCATTTCTTTCATTCGCTTTAGATTTTCTACACTGAAAAGCAAGTTTCAGAGTTTCTTCTGACATTCATTTCGGTTTTTTCCTTCTTTCCTGTCTTTTTAAAAACCTTTTGCTTTCCTTCTGTATGATGTTCTTGATGTCATAACACAACTTCTCTTCAAAGTTGCAGTACCAGACTTGCCTTGGTCTACAGTAGAGGAAGGAATTCAAAGACTAAGAAATTGGCATGTGAGAGAGGATTTATCAGAAGAGACCCATCAACTCGCACATGTACAGTCCAGAGGACATACCTTGTCCCACAACACTGAGGAACAAATTTGTGAAGGGAGCCCCAGCCTCCTTGAAAACTGCTGTGATTAGTATTTATTTAAGCAAGATTTCACAGTGGGAACTGTCCTAACTGAACTAAGATACCGAACTACAATGGCACTGATTGGACCCTGTGTTGGTAGGTACCAAGTGGCAGCAATTTATCAATAAAGACAAGAAGGGGGTTGTTAATACATAAATAGGCATGTGGTCTTGCTGGTGAGCACATGGGTCCACTATACTGGGTCATTTGAGAACTTCACAATCATTGCTACGTTTGAGCCCACTACTGTTTCTTCTTCTTCTTGTGTTGTCAAGTTGGTTCCAACTCATAATGACCCTGTATAAGGTTTCCGAGGAGCAGCTGGGGAGCTTAAACCACCAACCTTGTGGTGCAAGTCAATTTTGCAATCCAACCCACAGTGCCACACTATTGTTGCTACCACTATGCAAATTTCTTGAGGATCTTCCTCTTTTTCTCCGTCCCTCTACTTTACTAAACATATCCTTCTCCAGGGACTGGTTCCTCCTGAAAATATGTCCAAAGTATGAGCGACAAAGTGTGCCAAGCCTGGCTTTCAAGGAGCATTCTGGCTGGACTTCTTCTAACACCGGTTGGTATCTTCTTTTGGCAGTCCATGGTACTTCTAATATTCTCCTCAACACCATAACTCAAATGCATCAATCCTTCTATGGTCTTCCTTATTCACCATCCAGCTTTCATATACATATGAGGTTAATGAAAATACCATGATTTGGTTCCGGTGTACATTATTCCTCAAACTGAGGTCTTTGCTCTTATACACTTTATATAGGTCTTGTGCAGCAGATCTGTCTAACGTAATACATGGTTTGATTTCTTTACTGCTCTTTCCATTAGTATTGATGGTTGATCCGAGCATAATGAAGTCTCTGACAACTTCCATCTTTACTCTATTTATCTTGATGTTATTTATTGTTCCAGTGATGAGGGCTTTTGCTCTTTACATTGAGATGCAATCCATACCAAAGGTACAAGTATTTACTTCAAGTACCCTTTGCTTTCAGCAAGCAAGGTTACATCATCTGCATATCACAGGATAATAAGTCTTCCTCCAATCCTGATGCCACATTTGTCTTCTTAAAGTGCAGCTTCTCGGATTATTTGTTCAGCATACAGATTGAATAAGTGAGGTGAAACAACACAACCCTGGCGTACACCTATCTTAATTTTAAACCATTCGGTGTTCTCTTGTTCTATTCAAACAACTGCCTCTTGGTCCATGTACAGGTTCATCGTGAGCACAATGAAGTGTTCCGGAATACTCATTCCTTGCAATGTTGTCCATAGTGTGTCATGATCCACACAATTGAAAGCCTTTGCATAGTCAATGAAGCACTGGTAAACATCTTTCTGGTATTCTCTGCTTTCAGCCAAAATTCATCTGATGTCAGCAATGATATCTCTCATTCTATATCCTCGTCTGATTATGGCTGGACCCTCTGGAAGTTCTATGTCAATGGATGATTGCAACTGCTTTTAATTATCTGCAGCAAAATTTTACTTGCATACAATATTAATATTATCCAACGATTTCGCATTCCATTGGGTCACCTCTCTTTGAAATGGGCACAAATATGCATCTCTTCTAATCAGTTGGCCAGACAGCTATCTTCCAAATTTTTTGGCATGAGTGAGTGCCTCCAGTGCTGCATCAGTTTGTTGAAAGATTTCAATTCGTATTCCATCAATTCCCAGTGCCTTTTCTTTGCCAGTGCCTTCAGTGCACCTTGGACTTCTTCCTTCAGTATAACCGGCTCTTGATCACATGCTATCTCCTGAAATGGTAGAACACTGACCATTTATTTTTGGTACAGTGACTCTATGTATTCCTTCCAACTTCTTTTGATGCTTTCTGCTTCATTCCATACTTTGCCCATAGCATCCTTCAATATTGCAAGTCAAAGCTTGAAATTTTTCTTCAGTTCCTTCAGCTTGAGAAATGCTGAACATCTTCTTCCCTTTTAGTTTTCTAACTCTAGGTCTTTGCACATTTCGTTACATTATATTTTTAAAAGAACTATAATTGTTCAAATCTGAGCTGCTCCTTGGAAACCCTACATAGGGTCGCTAGGAGTCATAACCAACTCGATGGCACTGAAACAACAACATATAAATAGTATGTGTACATCAAATATTTTTGCCTTGATCATTTATGAAATGTAAGATGAAAATGGTGTCAGTGCAGCTTTTTTATCATTAGGTACAAGATGTTATTGCTGTTAAGTGCCATCAAGTCAGTTCCAACTCATCCCAACCCTACACAGGGTTTTCAAATAGCACTGCATGGGTTTGAACCACCAACCTTGTGGTGAGCAGGTCCAGTGCTTATCTTACATCAGGTACACGAGAACTTCATTAGGTACAAGTATGACTTCACAATTGTCTTTATTTAGAGATTATGTATGTGGTTTAAGGAGATATGTACAGGTGCCAAGTTGACAAGGAGTGGACTTTGATCATTAAGGTTGTGTGCCAACTTGACTGGACCAGAATCCTCAGTGATTTGGCAACTGAAACGTAGTTATCCCCATAATGGGATCTAATACGGTGTAATTAACTACAAGGAGTTCTGCTGTGAGAAGACAATCTTTTGAAAAGATGTTTCCTCAGGGGGTGTTGGCTTGCTTCCAATCAACCAGACACACAGGCAAAGCTTGTTTGCTCCTTCTGGGCCTGGATCTTGCATCTGGCTCATCGTACGACTTCTGGTATTCTAGACTTGAGCCAGTGACCTGCTGTATTGGCTGCCCACCTGACTGACTGACTGACTGACTGACTGACTGACTGCCTGTCACTGACCTGGACTTGGGACTCCTCCACCTCTACAACTGTGTTATTCATTTCCTTGATATTAACTTCTCTTGATGTATACATATATAAGTTTCACTGGTCTCACTTCTCTAGAGAACCCAGGCCAAGACACCCTGTAATTTAATTTTCAGCCCAAGAACGTGCATGTCTGTAAGAGAAAGAACAGCACCGGTGAAGTTTGCACAACTTAAGAGTCATCAACCAGTTGAGACCAAAAGGGCAGCATTTCTTCACAGACAGAGTTCAGAAGGGTTAGGAAAGACGAAGGGACGGCAACAGGAGATCTGGCAGGACGCCCATGGATAAGTGTTGTCGCACTCCGGGATTCATCATCAATTAGATGAAGCACAATATGTATGAATTGCTGAATGTAAAACTGATGATCTGCTCTATAAATCTTCACCCAATTCACAAGTGAAATATATAAAAAACAAATAGATAATGGAATTTTTCCACAAACTTTTTAAAGTCCCCTTGTACTGCTAGCTCTTAAATAGAAAGCACAGATCTCTATCAGAATCATATAAAATACAAAATTTGAAAGTATCACGCAAACTAGTATTTTCTTCAGTATTGGGAAACACACATGGAATCATGAGAAAAGAAGCTAAGAAAAAGAGAGCTAAAGAAAGCAAGAAAGACATTCCTCCCTGTTAGGATTAAATTGTGTCCCCAAAACTGATTTGTTCTAAGCCCTCACCCTTATTCCTGTGGATATGATCCCTTTAGGGAATAAGATCTCCTGTGTCACGTTAATGAGACCATATCTGTGCGTGGCATGCCTTAAGCCAATCACTTCTTGAGACAGGAAAGACCAAATTAGGCACAAAAGTAAGCAAGCACAGATGGAGTAAAGCTGAAACTAGTCTACATGAAGACACAGAGATCACCAATGAACCCGAAACAGCTGGAAAGAAACAAGGACCTCTCCTCCCCAGAGCCACCACACCCTGAAGTCACATTTCTAGCTGACCAAACTGTGAGAAAATAAACTTCTATTCATTGAAGTCATCCACTTGTGGTATTTCTGTTCTAACAATACTAGGAAACACCAGTCCCAACACCAAGGTCTGCATGGACTCACCTTGCGGGGTTGGAAATCGTATTTCACACAGTGCTGGAATCCTTTCCCTTTGGACTTGAGTGATGTGACTATTAAGCAGTTACCGACAAAATGAGCAGAGTAACCAACTCCTTTACTTGTACGAAAACTGAAAAGGAAACTGACAATAGTGTAATATGCTCTACTACAAAGAACTAGCTATCTCTAATAGGCATTAAATAAGCATCGTCATAAAAACAAACTCTGTTGCATGTACCAAACACATAAAAAAAATTTAAATTACTGAAAAGAGAAGAAATTGATTGAGAACTGGGCCATTTTCAGCCCACTGGGCAGGCCTCTGAGGAGGAGAGCAATCCCATTAGTGTGGTGCTCACACCTGAGAGTCATCAATTTGCCATGGGAAGGGCAGCTGTTCTCCATGATGACGGTCAGGAGGGGGGAGGAGGAGGGAGGAAACAGGAAGCACAGCAAGTAGGCTAAGTGACGGTACACTGAACTGTTACAAATTTCAAATACAAAAATCACAAGAGCATGTGAATGACCTGATCTGGCAAACAGATCACCCCAACCTCCAGGCCTACGTGTCCCTAGCTAATACAGAACCCATTTAGAGGTTTTCCTGAGGCTGCTGCTGCATCTTTGACTATAGCTTAGAGATGCTGCAGCTATTCAAGACATGGACTGCAAGTCTACTTATAGACAATGACGCATACAATTGTTATCCACATAATATCTTTCATAATAAAACTTGCTGTTGTGAAGTGTCACCGAGTCAGTTCCCACCCATAGTAACCCCACATAGGGTTTCTGAGGAGCAGCTGGTGAGTTTGAATCACCGACCTTGCTTACGAGCTTACAAGCTCGTTTTGTTTTACTTACTTATTTTTGTCCTTATATTTCTCAGTCAATTATCGTTCTAAGAGCTTTCAAATTTCTCTCATTAAAACATATATAATAGGTACTATTAATATCCTAGCAAGCAGTGACTATCTGATGTGGTTGGTTACTAACAACTCTTCTTTCTGTTATTATTGGCATATAAAAACTACCAAGCTCTCAGTAACACAGATGTCTACTGGCAGTCATCAACTTATCTACCAAATAACTCATCGTCTTTGAGTATGACTCTCATGTTACTAAGGAGCTCTGGTAGAGTAGTGGTTACGAATCCGGCTGCAAACCACAAGGTCAGCAGTTAGAAACTACCTGCGGTTCTGCGGGAGAAAGACGAGGCTTTCTACTCCTGTAAGGATTTACAGCCTCAAAAACCCTGTACAGGGTCGCTATGAGTCGGAACCAACCAACTCATGGGACTATTATTACTAACTTTAAAAGCATATTTCAGCGGACCAGATAAAATGTGAGTGAAGAAACGAAGTGAATGAAATCTGGTCATAGTTGTGGTTTTCTTCCTCCCCCTGATCAGAGACCAGCAGTCTTCACTGAGAACCTAAAACTGAGTTGTCCTGAGGGAGATGAGAGGGAGGGGGTTCTGTAAGCCAGCAGCTGAAAAACGAGTGAGGTGGGCAGTTCAGAGTCAACAGGAAGGAGAACTGATGGAGCTGTGTCTCTCTGCTATTGTACCAGGGAGCTTCCAAAAAGACAAGGGAAAACCCCATTATCTTCTCATTCCATTGTTCCCACAAACATTTTGAAGCTCTCCCCTTCCTGTTCCCTCCTGATTTGTTTTTCTGGTATGGTGTTGTAGGATAAGCACTACTAACTACAAGGCTGGCGATTCAAGCCCACTAGCTGCTCCTCGGAAACCCTATACGAGGTCATTATGAGTCTGAACCAACTTGATGGTACTTTAACAATGACAACAGCATATGTAACCCAGCTCATGATCAAGTGTGTAAAAACAGTAGGTGCACTTAAGCATCCTTTAGGATATGGGGTTAGATAATAGGATTGATAGCATACACATACACACATATATATGAGGGGGCTTCAAAAGGTTCATGGAAAAATTCTATTATCTTTCATTTCCAATTCCTATAATCTTTGAAGCCCCCAGTAATACACACACACACACACACACACATATTCTATTTAATATGCTCTTTTTACACTACATTATATCTTCGCAAAACTGAAGTTATTAAAAACAGAAGTCCTCAAACTGAAGATGCTACTTACCAGTACAAATAAGGTTTATCCTTGTCAACGTTAATGTTATTTAATGGATCCATACGAAACCAAGTGTTTAGGGTGAAGCCATTTTGATAAGGCCACTTTGCGATAGGAGGCAATGCAATTGCCTGCAAAGAAATGGAAAAAGGCAGAAAAGTATCAGTTAAAACAATGATTTTACATGTAGAATACAATTGAGTGGGTCCCCTCAAAGTAAACCCCCTTCCAAGACTAAGACTCAATGGGAATACATGCTCTAATGGTGACCATGTTTGTCACCAATAAGGGGAGGTGAGGGAAAAACAGCAATGAAGCTGCGAGCTAAGACCTACAACATTCAATAGACTCTTATGAACCTAGGTGGAGACCTTGTTGGCCAGCAGTGTGGCAAGACCTAGGGATTCTTGGGCCCAGAGTCAGTGACATAGCCACAGAAGAATAGAGTGGAGAGTGAAGCATCCAGCTAATAAGAAGAGAGGGCATATGCACAAGAAAACCCACACTTGCAGATAATACCCACTTGACCTGGCTTTAATGACTGGATGATCAGAGCTCAACTGGAAGAAGACAGAAGAGGAAAAAAAAAGTAATCTGATACAATTTTATTAACTTGACCTACACCTATGGATGCAGTAGATCAAAAGAGTGAACAAATCTTTATAGCGAGGTTCATTCCCATCCCCTACATACACAGAGTAGACAGGGATGGGCAACTTGGACATTGGCTACCCAAAATGGGGGGCTACAAAGGCAAGAAGTGACTGGCTTACAAGCTTTCAAGAGGGAGTCTAGATCCAGAAGGTACGGAGGAAGGTAGAATCTCCACTGAGTAGTATCCAATCTGTCTGGGTGGGGCTGATGAAAGGAGATGGGGATAGGTCCCTTTTGGTACAATAGTGAATAATTGTTATCAGGTCTGACTGTGAGGGTTGGAAATGGAAAGGTGGATGTTTTCTAGCAAAAGAGGGGAGTGATTGACTTTGCAGTCCATGAGTAGAGGTCCCTGGAACCATCAAGGGAGAACAGCAGAGTGTGAGACCCTACCCAGAGAACAGTGATGCCAGAGATGGAGGCAGAGACGACAACATGGAGAGATGGAATGGCCGGGGACTCTAGAACCAGAGAGGGAGAGGGAATATGTTCTGACAACCGGGGGTGGGGGACGGGACAGGCTTGAAGGGTATACCCTTTGGTTGGTCAATGATGCATGGAGGGATTGTAATCATGGCAATGAAATGATAGACGATATGCTGAATGTAAAGCTAATGTTCTCCCATGAAAACTATCACATAATTCACACTAAAACATTATAAAAAAAAATTGAGGTATAAATACCAGAAAATTTTGATCAAATAAAAGGGGGTTCCCAAAAGTCTCGGGGAAATTCCATTACCTTTCAATTCCATTTTTTTTTTTTTACAAAATGTTTGAAGCTCCCCTGTATATACAATAGAAAAAATTCATAGATTATTAAAATAATCCATGAATATTACTCATTGACACAGAAGCATTGTAATTTTGAAACTCAGTGAACTAGCTCTCGTCTCTAGGTTTGACACTGCTTTCCACAGCGGACTACAAAGCATCCCCCTGTATTGTCCATTTTCTAGGGTTTATAGAAGTTTTTCGTAATGTGAAGGGGTTTCAAATGGCTACAGAAAAATGGAATGAAAAGCTAATTGGATTTTTCCACAAACTGTTTGAAGCCCCCTCATATTCCATTTGATTACAGGGGCTGAATGCTTAAAGGCAAAACTACTGTGCCAGAGTCCACATGGAAAACCCAGAAGTACTGAGACAGCCCATCATGATAATAAAACAGAAACAAAGGAGGGGAAGGCACGAGATTAGTCTGAACCTTAACCACTGAAATTTAGAACTATAAACAGTTCAGACCCACTCATTAGGAAAAGAATCCTACAGTAGCAGTCAAATAAAACCCAGCCATTCTAAGGAATGTGTGTGAAAGTGGGTGATTCCTTACGTTAAGAAACATGAGAGTGGCTGTGCTTCTCTCCCCAGGAGATTCCCAAAATCTCCGCACAAGCAACATGTGTATCCATCTGTCCCCTGTATACATCCTTCACATTTCTGATCATGGTCTTTCTCAAAGCTAACCAAGCAGCTTCCATATTTCAAACTCCTTAGCACACAGAGTAAGATCTAGAAAAACACCCCATATATACCATGGCTCCAGCAATCCTACTACGTACCCTCCATCCTAAAGGACCCCCCACACCCGCTGCTCGGTCACACTTGTTCACTAGTTGTGTTCCAGCTCCTTTTCTTTACTGTTCACTATACCACTGTGTCTCCCTCCAGCAGACTCCCAACGCTCTCCCAGGGCCAAGCAAGTGTGTCCCTCATCTGTGACACTTCTCTAGACTTCAGCCCCCGGCACTCAGGACTCAGTCTACTACAATACTACAACGCTCCTTCTAACAGGCTGTTTGTGCATGTGCCTACCCACGAGAGGCGGCCTGCTGTGGTGCTGGGGTTAATGCGCTGGATCGCAAGGTTGGTTTGAACTGCAAGGTCGATGGTTCAAATTCACGAGCCGCTCCTTGGAAACTCTATATAGGGTCACTATGAGTCAGAACCTACTTAACGGCACTTAATAACAGCAACACCCATGAGAGACAGCAGGTTATGCTCTTAGCGGTCAACCAGAAACTGGGCAGTTAGAACTGACCAGCCACTCCATAGAAGGAAGATGAGGCAGACTGTGCCCGTAAAGGTTTAGCGCCTCAGAGTGTGGTGTGGAGCACCTCTGCTCTGCCACACAGGTTACTAGGAGGTGGACTTGACTCCATCACCACAGGTGGGTCTCCCCCAGTATAGTTCTTTAAGAGTCAGGAAGATAACTGATACACCCATCATTTTTACTTACGACACAGAAACACATACTATGTAGTCAGTAAATAATCATCTCAAAGTAGCCATAGATTTCTAAGTGCTGGCTGTAAAAATACACACACATAAAATTTCAAATCAAACATGAAACTCTACACATAAATGAAGTTTCCCACATGAATACTTAAACAACTAATGCAGACAGCTTAACTCTCAAATATAGTTCCTCTTGATTTTTTTAAATGAGAAATAGGTTTACCTTATTTAGTGCTTTAATTGCTAGTAAAATTCAATTCTAGCCAAATTTAGCATTTCTTACCAAACTACAATGAACAGAGCTGCTTCGGAGTACCAGGATGAACATTGAGATCTACACAGAGGACACTGAATAACAGAAGGAACCTACAGAATTATATAAATGACGGTATAAACACGTGTCCTAAGACCAGTGGAACAAAACTAGTTCAGAGTTGGACTGTTGGTTTTCACTCTTTGCACAAGACCAGCACACACAGAGCACATTCTCATCAGAGACAACAGTATCATTGGAGAGTCAGAAGGCATTGTGGGAGGCAGCCTTTATCCCCTGCCAGCCCCTCCACACCATCTGCACCATCAGTCTCCTCACGCGGCCTACCGAGCCCTGAAAGAGAACTGCAACACTGGATTAACTTCAGAGATGGGGAATGAACTTCCTGACCAACTCTTCATTCATCACCATCACTAGGGGACAGAGACTGACACCACCACATCAACTCCCAGCAATCCTGCAGGACAGAGCACACTGCCCCTTAGGGTATCTAAAGGCTGCACTCTTTCCAAGCCTGAGTGATCACGTCAGGTCTTCCTGTGGCTGGCAGCGACTCCATCAAATCACCCATGAATAAACAAGGATCTTACTGTGGCCAATCTCTTCATCAGATTGTTATCTTCAACCTTTCTTTTAAAGTAAACAGTGAGCACAAATCTTTTAGTTATCAATGTGAGTTCACCTCTGTATCATTGCACCTGAAACCTCCCAGTTTGAGGACTGCACTCCTCTACCTCCTGAGCTGCCCCGAGCCCACCATACAGCATACAGTGTAGGCCTTTTCCCACACTATTGCCTCATGCACAAGGCACGGAAGTAACCTGGCATGGCACTGCTTCACCTGGAGCCCATCTGGTGTACTCCCAGACCCCCCAGTCGCTGGGTTCCAAGCGGCAGCTTCCAGTTCCTCAGTGTCAGCGGCCAGGCCTCCAGATAATGCTCTCCAGACTGCCCTGCCTGCACCTCCACATTCCTTCCATTACTCTCACGCTCTCAGTTGGAACTAACCGCAAAATGTATGGTCTTTTCCACCATAATTTGCAAGAGAAATTATTTCAGTGTTCAGATGGTGTGCTTTTAGTAAAACAGTCCATAGAAAAGTACACTATTCCCTAATTTAAGCAAGTTCATGAACTATATCATAATGGAATATCTCTATGGAAGACCTAGAAGGGTGCACGAGCACATATAAACCGTAGCACTGGTCCGTCACTGTTACATGAATCACTAGGTAGACTTCGGTACGTTCCCCACATGAGAGAACGTTACCAAAGTGTTCCGACAGAGGCAGCACAGAGGTGCCACGGGGGGAATTGCACAATACAACTCAGAAGACCTATTGTACGTGCTTAGGGCAGAGCAAGGAGGCGGTACCAATTTCGTTACCACAGGCGCTGCAGTTAGCAGTGGCCTACACAGTCTGTACACCCTTGGTGAGACCAGTGTCGGTGGATCATGCTCATTCAGAGCAGTTTATCACAAGCCCATGACGATGAGGATTCCAGCACAGGCTCCTCCCCGGATAGCAGCCATTCCACACCACAGAAATCAGGCGGCCCTGGGGTGAGGGCGGCCAGAGTCCCGCTCACGGAGGAACTCTGCTCCCTTGTGGAGCTTCACCTTCCTCAAATGTGTAACCGAAATCATATCTTAGATAATTTTTGTGACTGAAATGAAACAAGAGTGGTAAAAAGTCCTAGTTCCTTCTTGATTTCCTACTTTCCATAAATACAGTCTTAACACAAACTACCCAAATAAACAACTCAAGGAAAACCCAAACAGTGGACAGTTGTCGCTAGGTGCCGTTGAGTTGGTTCTGACTCATAGCAACCTGATGCATAACGGTACAAACCACTGTCCACAGTTGTTGTTTGATCACAGTGGTATTGCCGCTGTGTTAATCCATCTTGTTGAGGGTGTTCCTCTTTTTTGCTGCAGCTCTACTTTACCAAGCACGCTGTCTTC